CAAGAGGAAAAAAACGGGACTTGAGTGTTAGGGATGCCAGCAGGACGGAAGTGCTCCTAATCGTCGTGGATTTAATCCATATAATGCAAATCTAGGGTGTCTAAGGTCACCCGTCACTTCTGCATAGATTGTCCTTTGGAGGGACAAAAAGAAAAACCGAAAGTAAAGCAAATTCATGGAGATTTCTCTCAACTGGAAAATGAATCATGATGTCTCTACACTGGGGGAGACTTTGGCCTTTCTGTCCCTGCTTTTGTGCTTCCTAGGGGCACCCAGTGAGCCAGTGGGCACCACGATGCTGGACTGGATGGCATTTCTTAGATTGTTACCTGGCTCAATGAATGGTCGTGGAAATCATAGCTAAAGATCTATATACCAAGTGGTCAAGTCTGGGCCAATCTGTGGATATCTACATTGACTAAGTGCACAGAAAGATTTTTCTCCAAACTCGGGGGGACCCCCAAGTTTGCAGGAAAAAATCTGAAAACCCTAAAAGAATTATATTGGGGGTGTTAAACCTCCCCAATAATAAAGTTATCTGTGCATGCAGCCTCCAGGATCTTTGCCACAGCTGGCCATGGAGCCTGCTGCTGCTGTGGAGGCTCCCAGGGGCCCCGCCCGTGGTTAGCTGCCCCTGCTGGCTGCTGGGGACCCTGCTGCTGAGGTGGCAACTCTCAGGGTAAGGGCAGCCCCCCAGGTGCCCAAGAGCAGGTCAAGGTAAGGAGGGGAAGGGAGAGAAAAAGATATCAGAGGATGAGAACAGAGAAAGGGAGAAGACGATTGGACCACAAGCAACACTCCCTCTAAGCTGTGGAGTCTCGTGAGCAGAAATTCTACTTTGTGAGCTGCTGGCATTAAAGTTGTGAGCGAGCGAAATTAGTTTGCTCTGGAGCCATCCTTCCTGAGTGGAGACAAAAATGTGTGAGCCAGAGGCTAAAAAGCTGTGAGCTGGCTCACACTAACTCAGCTTAGAGGGAGCATTGACCACGAGCAGGTTTGGGGAAAGTAGAGAGTGGAAGGTGTGGATTTCTGTATCTTCCCTCCCTACATCCAGTGACATTCCCTCTCACACCTGCCATTCCCTCACAATCTCTGGTCAGCTTTTCACCATTGGTTTCAATTACTGGGAGTTGGTAGATCACTGTAGTAATAAACTGGCTGCTGGGGGCTCAGAGCCCGCTCTAATGGCGGAAGTCCCGGGAGGAGCCCTGTAGAGCAGTCAAAAGAGGGGCCGAACTCACCGAAGGTGGCTGAGCGTGCTTCTCGCCTCGGGACTCTCCGGTTGGGGTGAGCGCCATTTCCCAAAGCGTAGCCTTGAGGCGAGCCACCCTGCCTCCTAGGGCCCTTGGGGTCAAGGCCTTACAAGCCTTACAGGTAGATGTGTTACGGCCTTCTACGAGGCCCGAAACACAGGAGGAGCGTTTCATCTGATTGTGCCATTTTAGCACCACACTGGCAACATTTCTTAAAGCCATGATTGACCAGTAGCCTGAGAGAGAGAGAAATTCACCCCAGACTAAGAGAGACAACAGCTCGCTGAAATCACATCCTCTTTAGGTGGCGGCAAAAAGAGAGAGAACCGAGGGGAGAGTGCTGGCTCCACCCATATAGCGTGACTTTTGGGCAGGGAAATCGCTGTGCTATAGGGAGGCCTAGCAGTCTGGAGATACTAGAAAATTCTTTTGAGCTCGCTAGCTCCTCCCGGTGGCTGGCCTGCGACTGCACAGTCCCCAATGTAGGGCTGTACAGAAGCCATGAAGATGAACATAGGCTTTCTAGATGGAGGGGGAGAGAAGATTCTGCACGAGTTCCAACAACCATGACTTTTCCCACTGTGAAGTCTGCACGAGATAGAGGATTTTTGCTTGTCCAGTAGGACTCACAAATGCACCCACCTCTGTCCAGTCTAAGCCTTATCCTATTGGATGCAACCCCACCCCTCATGAGCAGAACTCAGAGGGTGCACGTCAGCAGTGAAGACACAGTGGAGCATTCATGAGGCTTGCTCTCCTTGACTAAATTTTTTTTTCATGACTTGTCGTGTATTTAAAAAATGGTTGCGTGACTTGGAGGTGGGAGGCTGGACTATGACATTTTGGTGATGGATTAATGTACTGCTGGGCAGCATAAGTAAACACTCTGTATTCTTCTGATACCAAACTTTTCTGCAGCACAGGCAATGAATTATACACACTGTGTGTGTGTGGGTGGGGAGAAAGGTACGTGGTGTAGCCAGATCTCAGAAGCTAAGCAGGGTCAATACTTGGAAGGGAGACCACCAAGGAAGCCTCTGCAGAGGAAGGCCATGGCAAACCACCTTTGCATCTCACTTGCCTTGTTGGGGTGATGGCCCTACGTTGGCCGCAAGTTGACCACACTTTACAAACTCCATCTTATTGGATTGCTGCCCATACAATCAAATGCTCTGAACACATTCCTTGGTCTAATCTACTCAGCTCAGGATGGATACCTATTTCCATATATGTTGCGTTTCCTCACAGTGTTTCATGCCAAAGTGATATTTGCAACAGCCCTGTAAGGTAGGCCCGTATAATTATCCCTGCATTCTAAATGAGGCACTCCCTCATGCGGCACCCGGGTCTCGAACTGCTGAACTACCGACCTTCCACAGTCTGCAGTTCAGTGTCTTAACCACTTGAGCTACCGCAGCTCCGCAATGGGATTAGGTCTAGGTTTTAATCAGTCCTGAGAACTGGTCACTTGAGGGAGTCTGTAGCTTCCTTTTGATGACGTCAAGAATGCACCTTTGACATCCTCGCGTTCACCGCTTCCTTCACTTTCACATCATTTTATCTGGATTTGTAAACCAGAAGCAAAGCCCAATTTGTTGTTTAACCCGATCACAACAAATGGTGGTATTGCTGTAAAGCAGGCGGGAGCTTTTCCTCTGCAAGTGATGCACAAGGGGAGCACGCAAGCCGGTGAACCCAAAGTAGGAGTTACTCGGCCATCAGAATGTGGCCTCTGAGTTCTGAATCTGAAGGCTACAGAGTGGCTGTGGCAGCGCAGTGACTGCACCATCAGCTGATCCACTGCTGGTTCATAAAATTAGATGCGTAAGTCGAGGCGGAACACCTGCAAGCCAGAGCCCTCTTCTTGAGCGTATTAAGGCAGCCTTTGTGTGTCAACCCACCCAACAGGTGAAAGGATGGTTCATTTTTCCTCCCTGCACTTCAGGGCTCTTTCCACAGGTATTCTGAAAACGGGGGGGGGGGGCATGATGAGCAGACATTGTGGAATGTGGCTGCCAGTCTTGCGAATGCTCCAGGTGTGCAGTGAGATTTGAGCCAGCCTCCCATCAGCCAAGAGGCTGTTGCACTCCGTAACTTTATTTATTTATTTGGTTGATATCCCACCCTCCCCGCCGAAGCATGTTCAGGGCAGCTTATAAGCATAAATATAAATTAATCATTTAAAATCCTCCTAAAGCATTGGGACAAAGTTAATAAAAGCTAGAGCAAGATTATTTATAAAACATCTCAGGTAACCATATATTCCAGTAACTAGCTCAGTTCTCCAACTATTATGCGGCGGTTAAAGTGGTAAACCGAGCACAGGCTGGAAATAGGGATGGTAAAGCAGGGACACTCCTCGGTGTATAGTGCGGCTCCTTAATCAAAGGCCTGGTGGAAGAGCTCTGTCTTGCAGGCCCTGCGGAACTGTAAAAGGTCCCGCAGGGCCCTAATCTCTTCCGGGAGCTCATTCCACCAGTATGGAGCCACCACCGAGAAGGCCCTGCCCCTGGTAGTTGCCAGCCTGGCATCCTTAGGGCCTGGGAGGGCAAGCTCATTTTGCGTCCCTGAATGCAGTGCTCTCTGGGGAACACGGGGAAAGGTAGTCCCTTAAGTATGCCGGGCCCTGACCAAATAGGGCTTTAAAGGTGAGAGCCAGCACCTTGAAATTAATCTGGTATGCTATTGGCAGCTAGTGCCGTGTCCTCAGCGCAGGTTGGATGTGCTCCCGCATAGGGCCTGGCTGCAGCATTCTGCACTAGCTGCAGCTTCTGGATTTGAGACAAGGGCAAGCCCCATGTGGATTATTAGAACTGTAGGTGTGAGCGGGTGGAATGGACTCCATGGATCAACTAGTCCTGGGGTAGGTCTTCGGGGAAGGTGCTAATTCCTAATTATTATCATTATTACCCTGCCCTATCCCATGAGTGGGCTCAGGGTGGCTACAACGGCAAGATCCATAAAACAATAAAAGCGATACAACCCATAAAACTCCAGATGGCACAATAAACAGTAGCAGAGAGGACCCGTGCCTCATGTCAGGTGAATAGAAAGCTCCCGTGCCCAAGTGACCTTATCTAAGGCAGCAGGGCACTGGGAAGAGGCCGGGAACAGGGGAGGCCAGGATGGCTGAACATCCACTGCCTCAACCAAAAGCTTGGCGGAGCTATTGTGGCAGGGCTATAGGACCAGTGGGAAATCAGAGTTGGAGGTCTCTGCCCAATTGCTGTGTAGCCAGACGTCTGTAGGCTGACTGTCCCAAAGCCCCATCAAAATGTGGTGTGGAGCTCACAGGCCTTGGACGTTGCGTCATGTGCACCTGTTCACAGTGGCTGCTGGTGCCCCAGTCCTGTGTGTTGTGTGTCGTTATAGTTGCATTGCTCCTGTATGCACACGTGCAGTATCATAAGAAAGAAAGTGGTGTCCCCCTGGGGCACGGGCAGCCTCTGTGAGCAGCAGAGAACAAGGTAGAATGGGCAGGATACTGACCTTGGGCCCATCCCGATAAGGGTGGCACTTTCCCCCGTCGTACAAAGGTTGAATCCAACCTTGTTGGCCTTCATGCCCACAGCGAGTGGTTTGCTGCACTCTAGGAACTAGTGGGGACTTTGCTCCAGAAGATCCGATTCCTCACTGTGAAGTTGAGCGGTACTTTTGGGGGATGCATTTCAAGAACTCAAACAGGTCATAGCCGTGCTAACTTTTGTGTAACAGAGCCCTCCCTGGTCTCTGGTGTTGCTATTGCAGATGGATACTCTAGCCGGGACCGTCTTTCTCCTGAAATTTATGAAGAATCAGAAACTGACCCTGGTGCAGAGGACGTTTCCACGCGGATCTTTGTGGCCCTTTTTGACTATGATCCACTGACCATGTCTCCTAATCCTGATGCGGCAGAAGAGGAACTCCCATTTAAAGAAGGGCAGATTATCAAGGTAGGATATGTACATGGAATGGAACCGTGCTCCTGAAAGATTCAAACTTAGGAGTCTCTTGACCTTGTCGTGGCATCATTAAGCACAAGACCGGTAAAGACCTCCCGCTACCTTCAGCTGACTGGGAACAAACCAAGCTTTGTTTCGAACTCAAAAGACCTTGTAAATGGTCATGAGGCAGTCTCTTTTCCCTTGCCTTCTCATTCTCCCTAGTCTCACTCGGTGACTTGGTTGCTGTTGTTGCTACTGTTGCTGAAGTGCCACATTTGCAGCGGTAGACAAATGCAAAGATAATCCTGTGTTCCTCCCTGTCTCTCCACCCCATCCCTAGAACACCATCTGGGCATCCAGGGAAAGATGGTACGGAGAGATTCTCTGTCCATTCACCCATCACCCGTCAGCAGCAGCCATCACAGGATATGGGGTGGCTCTTCTTTGGTTCAGATATAAAACCCACCAAGCTGGAGCAGTGTCGGGGAGTAGTGGTTAAGAGCGCGGACTCTAATCTGGGAGAATCGGGTTTGATTCCCCACTCTTCCTCCACATGCAGCTCCTGGTGTGACCTTGGGTCAATCACAAGTTCTCTCAGATCCAGGGCTATTTTGGGGCAGGAACGCACAGGAACGGAGTTCCGGCTGGCTCCCAAGTTGGCCACGCCCAGCAGGGACTCATTAGCATAATAGGCCACACCCAACAGCAGAAACTCGTTAGGATTGGCTACAATTAGGGGTGTGTGGCCTAACATGCAAAGGAGTTCCTGCTACAAAAAAGGCCCTGGGTTTTGACAACAAACAAGGTAAACAGAATAACAAGCAAAAGGTGGGTGTGGCTGGATAACCATACTTCTGGTAACATGGGGGTGCGGCCTAATGTGCTAATGAGCTGTGCTGTCAGGGGTGTGGCCCGATATGCTAATGAGTTCCTGCTGTTGGGTGTGGCCTATTATGCTAATGAGTTCCTGCTGGGCTTTTTCTACAAAAAGAGCCCTTGTCGTATCTATTGGGATGGGGAGTGATTTCAGATGCCGAATGACATTAGCGGGCAAATGACAATAGCAGGCGTGATTGGATTTAGGTGAGATATGCAGAGGGGCAATAGAGGTGGAGAAATCAGCATTGGTAAGGAGACAAGAAACCCAGGTCTTGATTCAATTGTCTTGAGCTTCAGTATCAGTTGCAATCAGAGGTCATTTCAGGGGGGAACGCGGGGGAACGCAGTTCCCCCGGGTAAGGTGCAGGGGGCGGGGCACATGACAAAGCCCCGCCCCCTGCTTCCGGCCGCCCCGCTTCCAGCCCTCATTCAGCCAGGAGGAGGCAGGAGAAGAGGGAGGGTACGTTGCTTCCTCCCCGCCTCTCCCCACCCCTGCCTGCCTGGGTCCAGGGAGGGCCTTGGCGGGGCTTCCTCACACTCCCGCTGGCCTTGCAGGTCCACTGCCGGGCCCCTGATGTCAGGGGGTGTTGCATATGCTAATGAGTTCCCCTAGCTCTTTTTCTACGAAATGACCCCTGGTTGCAATTCAGTTTTTTTTACTGCTGGGGGGGGGGCATGTTATGCTCACTTCAGTACTGAAGGTAAACATTATGAGCTGTCCAGGCTGTCCAGCACTGGAAATACAATCTCGGCCACAAATTTTATTCAGCACAGTCGGTTCCTCTGAGCAGCAAGAAGTCCAGGGAAGGCACAGCAATGGTTTGGTTTCCATTTGATGGGAGATCACTCGCTTGCAAAGGTATCTTTGTAGTATTTGTTTTACTAACAGATATATACGTAGAGCCTATTGGCAACAAATGAGCACTCCTCTGTCAAACTACACAACTACACATCCTGCATCAGGTTCCTCAGGAGACCCAACTATCCCCTAAAGATGCTTCCGTAAACACAGATAAGGAAGGAAAGGTAGCAACAACAGAGGTGTATTACTGATGTTATCTGTTATTTGTGGGGGGAGTTAGGAAAAATAATAACCGGGAACAGTATGCATTGATGTGTTCTCCCCGGGGAAACCTTGTCATCTAAGCAGAGCTTTACTACTTGCTCAGCTTTACGCCCCAGCTGCCTGTCTGTAAAACAAAGCTAACAAGAGAGCTGGTGCTGTTTTGTTAGTTAACAGTTAATTGATGCCTGTATTTATAAAAGGATGCTCATATTTGTTAGCTACCTTGGGTGTTCTTTTGAACAGAAAGGTGGGATAATAAATATAATTAAGTAGATAAAATGATAGTATCTATGAGGAGCCGGAGGAGGGAAGGCAGCATGGTATAGCTCGATCTCGTCAGATCTCAGAAGCTAAACAGGTTCAAGTGCTTGGATAGGAGACCACCAAGAGGGCCAATGGCCAACCACCTCTGCTTCTCACTGGCCTTGGAAGCCCCTTGCTGGAATTGCCATAAGTCAGTTGCGACTCAACAGCACTTGTGTATGTGTGAGGCAGTGGCAGGTCTCAATTTCAAACCCCATGTCTGCTGAAAACTCTTGTGGGTGGCCCTTAGCCTTGCCCTCAAATCTGCAATAGGGGGGTGGACTGTTGTGACACTTCGAAGATGAGCATGAAATGCTTTGAAAACTGATGGTGTATCCTTCTCTGCGAACCGCATCCAGGACTTTGTGCTTGGAAATGAGCTTCCTTTTTCTTGCAACAGGGAGGTTAGGTTGAGCAAATGACTGGCTTGATGGGACGTTGGAACCCAAGTCCCCCAATCCAAGCCCAGCATTCTAACCACTAGCTCAGACTGGTGTAGCCTCTCCTACTGTGTGGATAACTGTCAATATCAACGAGAGCTTACATGCCTAGGCATGAGTAGGCTCTTCCTGAATGTTCCCTACACTGCTGCAAATGATGGGATCGGGGACTGACTGACTCAAACCTGTAAAATGAAGAGGCCCTGGTTCTTGTGTCAAGTTCTCCATAGGGAGGGTGTGGCTCTCATACAACCCACATACTCAGACAACCCATGAACCCTCTCCAGTTATGTGAGCCAAAGGCCTTGGATCCTTCAAGCAATCTGCTTTCACTTTTGGAAAATTCTTAAAACATTGAACTCTGTTTCTGCTTTTCTTTTTCCTTTGGACAACGGCAGGTGTATGGTGATAAAGATGTTGATGGATTCTACCGAGGAGAAACCTGTGCAAGGCTGGGCCTGATTCCTTGCAACATGGTCTCTGAAATCCAAGCTGACGATGAAGAGATGATGGACCAGCTCCTGAAACAAGGGTTTCTCCCTCTGAATACGCCTGTAGAGAAACTAGGTAAGGGGACCCTCCATCTGAAGCAGAGTAACTTGTATCTCTATTGGCTCTCGTTAACTAGATAGCAGAGGGAGGGATCTGAATTCATAAGTCTGTTTCCAAGCAGGATCAGTCCTGGGTCTATGGTCTGATTACAGCTCAAATTAATTAAAACAGCCACCAAGAAAGTAAAAGCAAAATGTTTCTTTCTACTACTAAAGTACTTTAACCAAATAATATTTTCTTTAACAAGTTATTACTAGGGGTGGTACTACTGGTATTTTTTGGTTTAAGTCTATAAGACCCAGAAAAATTTCAGGATTCCTGAAAAAACCCAGATCTGAATACCAGTATGGTTGGGTTTTTTTAAATTAGATTATTTTTTAAGTTTTTGTTTTTTTTAATCCCAGATTTTTTCAGGTCCAAAACACCCAAATTGCAAAATGCCAGTAAAAAGTACCAGCCTGATCCTGGGGCTGTTTTGGCTTCTCCTGGTTCAAACCAGGCACTGGGAGAAGGCAGGCCAGCTGAAATTGCTGGGCCTGCAGGTAGCCAATGGTTCCCTGCATGTGCAGCCTTCTCCTCCAGCAATCGGCTCCCTGCAGGCACAGTTGGTCCCGGCTGGGCTGTCCTCTCCGGCCGCACGGGTGGCAGAAGGCAGTGCAGAGTTGCACCGGTGTGGGGAGCTCTCAACTCCTCACCAACCCAGCTGATCTTGGCCTGGCTTCTCTTGCAGCCCGGTTTAAACTGGGCTGCAAGAAAAGCCAGCCACAACTAAGGAGGTGGGGTGCTGAGAGCTTCCCCAGCTGATCCTTGGGCTGACTTCTGCAGTCCCTTTAAAGTTTAAAGGGATTGTATAAGCCTGCCTGACAAACAGCTGAGAGGCGGAGCTCATATTTACTCGAAATTCCCAAATATATCCAGGATTTTCTCAGGATCTTTTCCAGTTTTCCCAAGAAAACCTGCATACATTTGGGTAGCCGAAATATACTCGAGAAATACTATTTTGGGGTGGTACATTTTTGGCTCCGGTAGATCCCAATGCATGCCCCTAGTTATTATACAAGATGCCTTTTGCTTTGCCATAAGTACATGAAATACCATGATCTACTAACAGTGACAAAGCATAGTGGTATACAAAGAATAAATTATTTTTCTTTTACTTCTTACCATGAAAAGGCTGATCGCAGGCGGGGTTAATGATTCAGACTGCCATCAAATTATGAAGATAAACTGCTTAATTTTCTGGAAGCCAAGCTAGTAAACTAAGCCCCGCTCCACAATCCAGTCAGACAATTCCAGCGATAGTTCTTTAAAATAAATGCATCCCCAGGAATTTAGGGACTGCATTACCATCTGCAGCTCACTCAATTGCCCAAGTGTTCGGTTTTTACAAAGAGAGAGAAAAAGACCATTTCGAATAGCTTCATATCTTTCCCTCTTCTTTTGTTTGTATGCCTTCCTTCCTGAAGTCAACTGTGACCGTTTCAAAAAGAGTACACGCTCTGCCCACAGCAGATCCAGAAAGTCTAAAAGAGGTCTGTGCTGAAAACAAAACTGACCCGATCACATGTTGATGTAGTGAAGCACTTTGAGCTGCCTCATCCGATACTCCTTTTACAGCTTCAAATACTGGCAGAATACAGGCCCTAACAAATAGCCCTTCAGCACTGGGCTTAGGCATCGTCCTGTGCACCAGTATCACAGTTGGGTACTTTACTCACAGCGGAGGGAGGGACTGAAATATTACCCCAAGTCCTGTTAAGCAAGCAAGCACCTACTTTCTTAATTTGTCATAAGCAATGGCGTCCAAACTGTTGTCTTGGGAACCATGGGTTCCTCATAAGATTAATGGCGAGAGATCTCAGATGTCCATGAAAGGCGTTTTGTCGACCCACATTGGCCTTCCCCTGAAATGCAGATAAGACATTTTGGGGTAGTGGCTAAGAGTGCAGACGCTAATCTGGGAGATTCCCCACATGCAGCTGCTGGTGTGACCTTGGGTCAGTCATAAATTCTTTCAGAGATGTTTTCTCAAGGGCAGTTCTTGAGAGAGCTCTCTCAGCCCCACCTACCTCACAGGGTGTCTGTTGTGGGGAGGGGAAGGGAAAGGAGATTGTAAGCCATTCTGAGACTCCTTCAGGTAGTGAAGAGTGGGGTATAAATCCAATCTATTCTTCTCTTCTTCTTTCATTCACACAATGATGATCAGATGGAATATGGACTAAATGCATACCCTAGAGGGTGCACTAAACTCACCCCCAGCATACTGAGAGCCAACATTCATGGGGTGCATACAAGTCATGACTGAAATTGCAAACACTAGCCTGATGTCCCACTAACCACTGGCTCTTGAGCTCGCTGCCTTAGCTGTAGGTTTTCACCAGGCACTGTCTGAATGTTCATCATCACACAGCCATGAGGGCTAGGAACTTATTAGAACACTGACATCCTCAGGATGTGAAGATAAGCTAGATAGAAGATTCTGGAATTGTAGAAAGTGAGGGCCAGAGTATGCACAGCTCTGAGGACTGAGGTGGGAAGTATCTGGATCACATCTTTGTAGCTCACACACCGCAAAAGTCACAAAATATAGCAGCTAGGATCCACAAAGCAGCTTAGGGTGGTGCCAGGGATACCACCAGTGGGGCTATTATGCTGAACCACTGGCACCCACCCCATGTCATGATCTGCTTTTGAAAGTGAGTGGAGTTCCCAAAGTGGTTTGTCATACGGCATGGGATACTGATGTTTGGTTTTATCTCCAAGGCCAGTATCTGCCTGCGATTAAGTCAATGCAAGATTCTTTGAGAAAAGGAGGCTTAACTCCCCCCCCTTCCTGCTTGTACACCCAGTTTGCATATACCCTCGCCTTCTCCATATCCTTTGTACAGTGCAGACTGGTGACTTCTCCAGCATCTGAGGAAGTGCTACAACTAGGAATTCAAACCAGCTGAAATTAAGTTATCATGCAGCTCAGGAAAAGGCATGAAGGTTCAGGTTTGTTTTGAAGGCCACTCTGCGCACCCTCAACTGTGGGGGGGGGGGGGGATTTGAAGACCCCCTCGGCCCCCCCCCCCAACCGGGGGGGGGGGGGAGAGAAGGGGCAGAGTTTGCCAGCAGCCTGTAGATGAAAGGCGAGCAAGCATCCTAACATAGCACAGAAACTCTATCAGGGACAAGCAGGTGGGGGTTAATTAAGGAGCCTGTAGCGGCCCTCGTCTCCCCCTTGGAACCAAGCGATGGCAAGACAGACGCAACTGGGGTGTGGGAGGAAGCTGTGCACTGGACGGGGGAACCAAGCAGTGAGCTGCCCCCCATGATAACAGCAGGGTGGATACAGATGACTGAGTGGTATGTATAAAACTTAGGTGAGCACCAGTGTTTCCTCCCAAGCTGAGTTAGTGTGAGCTAGCTGTTTTTTAGCCTCCAGCTGACAGATTTTGTCTAAGCTCAGTAAGGATGGCTCCAGAGCAAACTAATTTATGCAGGAGCCAAATCGCTCACTCACACCTTTAATGCCAGTGGCTCACAAAGTAGAATTTTTGCTCACAAGACTCCACAGCTTAGAGGGAGCATTGGTGAGCACCCAGAGGCATCAGTTGAACAGGATGCAAGGGCAAGCCTCAGACCTGAAACCTGGTCCTTCGGCATCTTCAAGGAGCTGGGATAGAAACTGGGGCACCATCTTGACCCGTAGACCTCATGGCTAGGGAGAAAGGACCCGGCCCACATCTCCTGAACAGTAGTACATGCTTGGTAAGGACTCTAGGCACCTGGAAATCAGGGATGTGCCAAAGAGGCCTAATGCGTCTGCATCCCATCATGCTTGCACTGCAGTTAGGCACAGAGCATGTTTTGCTAGATTCCTATACACTTGATGTAAAATTAAATAAACTGGGCCCTTTAATCATCCTGTCTAATGCTGTCAGCTCCCCTTATTCTGTGCCTGCCTGCAACTGGAGATCTGCTTTATGTAACAAAAATGGAATGGCTATTTTTACAGTATGTACAAAATTGTCTGGTGTTGCTTTGAAATCAACAGGAACCAGAGTTCAACAGCTTAGCTGCGCCTGAACCCAGTGAAGGTTTCAGTTGGTTTGAATTCGTGAGTTCCGTCTCCTGAGAAGGAAAGAGAACACCAGTCCCCAAACTTGTCCTTCAGACATTCCTAAACCACTAAAGCCAGTCTCTCTGCTGAGCATCTGCCATCAGTCTCCATAATGTTCTCTCACACTTTTGCTCCAAACGTCCATCACAAGACGACATTAATGAGCATGTTCCTGTTGCCATATTACCAGTGGCAAGAGTCATGCTTCTCTCTCCAGTTTGGAAGCCAAAAGTCATCAGAGAATCCCCCCCCCCCAAGTATTTAATGTTGACATATAACTCATTTCTCACTGTAGTTTTTTCACAAGTAGAATTTGCTCAAACTGCTGTTATTTCACTAAGAAAATGTGCATGTTTCTGGGGTAATTTTTGTTCCAAGTTAATAGCTGAGTAGCAAACAAAACATTTTGAAAGAGCCTTTGCCCTTCTGGCAGAGAAAACGACAACTTAACCATTCATGAGTTGAATCTGGATAAAATTAATTTAAAAACAATGAAATTAATCAACTGTGTATGTTTTGATTTAGAAGCTCTAGTTAGGTGGTTGCTTCTCCCCCACCCCGCAGATGTGCAAATCCCTTGTGGATCTTGCTGGATTCTATGAGCCACAACCATATGCCATGTATCACTGGGATAGGTTAGCATGGTCATTATAGCAGTCATGTTGTGCAGCCAGAGGTCATACGCTACTGTCATACTCTACATCATGGGGATACGTTAAGGTAGTTGCCCTGTTTCCATTTTGCACAACCAATTGCCCAGCCTTTGAGACTTCACTCCGTGAGATGGTGGGATACTGCTGGCCATACTTTTCTGTCCTGGGTCTAGATTGTGGAGTGTCCTGTCCCTGACAAAGGGTACCATTTAATGGAATGCATAGGTTGTCTTTTGCTCTTCTTGAAGTTTAAATGTGACAGCAAGGATGAGGGCAGAGAGTGTTTCCAGCCAATTGAAGCTGGGTCAGCTGGAAGCCACACTCTCCCAAGAAATCTTTGAAGTTCCCATCACATATTTTTAGACCTACACCAAATTTCTTTAGAGGTATGCCTAAAACTGAAAAGGTGTGATTGCAACATGCATGCGAGTTAAGTATACCTGTCAGGAAGCTGGCTGGGATACCCTGATGAGCAAACAATTTGCGGCAAACCCGAGTTTGCTACATAATGTATGAATTAGCCCCAGCAGTGTGGCAATTGAAAAAAAAGTGGGAATTCTTTTTTCATTAGACCTCGTGTTAGCGGAGTGGCAAGAGTCTTCTAGCCCTGAACTCAGATAATCTTAGAATGCTAAATTATGTTTCCCTGTGTAATAGAGTGCCAGCATTGCTCCCAACGTGGACTATTAATTCCCATCTCCAGAATGATCTTGATCAAGAAAGTGTCTGGCTAGAGAACAATGAAATCCATGCCTCTGCCAGCCTGGTACTGTAAGCAAGCAAAACCCACCTAGGAATTAGAAATTGTATCGATTAACCTCTGGTTATTTTTAAAGAAATGGTTACTGATGGATTGGTCCACCAGTCAGGCTCCTAGCAAATGGGCCCCAGTTGATTGAGAAACCTGCATCATTAGCTTGTCTAAAAATAACTTTGATAGCTTTCCCTCCTTTTGGTCGGAACAGAAAGGAGCCGGAGGAGCAGCCGCCAACCTGCCGCATCGACAAGGAGAATGGTGGCTCTGTATGACTACGACCCAAGGGAGAGCTCTCCCAACGTTGACGTTGAGGTATTCACTGAAGCAGCATTGAAACTCTCCTCAGAAACCTATACTGTTATTCATTTAGGGGATGGAAAGTGCCATTTCATGCCTTTTATGGTGGGAAACCATAGCCTTAAACAATTGTCCCTTAGAGAAGACTTTGTGGGTGATATCACATCAACCCCCAAATCAAGGTCTGCTACCACAGTGGTCTTTCCTCACACCCCGGATTCACTCAGCTTTGTGCTATTTTGTTTGAGCACACCCCTTTCATTTCTAGGAGAAGCTTGTTTTTATTTATTCCTGCAGGGACAAACATTATGAGAGCAGCAGGGATTTAAAGATGAGTTATAGGTGCCTATAGGAGATTTTGGAAGTCATTCATTCACAGGGTCACTGTAAACCAGAAGCAACTTGACAACACGCAACATGCAACTTAAGCAAAACATAACTATTTTCCTGCACGACATATCTGCCTAGACACTTTCACAGGGCTCTCTTGATTCCTTCTGTCTGTATTTCAGTAGCCCTTATCATCTACCTTTGCTGAGCCCATGATAACAGGGCAATCCGAAACTGTACAATTGATGCAGTTTGGCTTCAGGAGTGATGCTAACATGCCCCTCAGATGGTTCCCTGCTCAACAGAGAACAACTTTTGGAGTTCTTTGCTTCCCTGTTCAGCCCCACATGGGAGTACCAGCACTTCCACTGTAAATGCAGGAGCAGACGCATATACTGATCTGTTTGCCAGCCACCGGGAACAGCGTGAAATGCATCAACCCTTTGCAAGGAGCAAAATGAACACGGTGCTTTGTCTTGTATTCTTTCTACAGGCCGAGTTGACATTTTGTACAGGAGATATTATTACAGTCATTGGAGAAATTGATGAAGATGGTTTTTATTATGTAAGTGCTTTCCATCGGTCTCTGTCCCAGTTGCAGCATGCCCAGCCCTTCCTTGATTAGCCAGCAAGATCTCTTGGCTACCAGAGAGGAATGCCAGTCACAGCAAATGCTTAACTAGTTTTCCCAGTAGAAAAGAGCAAGAATCCAGTAGCACCATAAAGACTAACAAAATATGTGGTGGGGATGAGCTTTCGTGAGTCACTGCTCACTTCAGATATCTGATGAAGTGAGCCGTGATTCACAGAAGTTCCTACCCTGTCACATATTTTGTTAGTCTTTAAAGTGCTACTGGATTCTTGCTCTTTTCTGTTGCTACAGACAGACTGACATGACTACCCATCTTAGTTTTTCCAGGCAGCTTTGTCCACCAAAATCACAAACAGATGGTGTGGGCAAAGCAGTCTGTTTTGTCAGACTGCATCCATGCCAGCGAGAACTGGAGACAAATCCCTTATTCAAACCACCTTGTTCCCAAGCAAGAGTTTCCTCTTGTGTAGTACGAGTGAAATGCCTGACTTTGGAAGCCTTGATCTGCTGCAACATCCAACTGCAAGCACTTGGAATAAAACAGGTTTCTGGCCTGGTTTCTGGAGCTGAAACTCCTCTTCCCTCAAAACAGTCTCTATGCAGAGGCCATGACAGCTGGAGGTTAATTCAAGGCTTTCAGAATGAGGAAGCCTTCAGTCAGACTCCACGGAGAGGGAGCGGGAAGAGGGAGAAAGCATGAGAACAAGAATTCATGCACATCAGATGTTTTCTGGTTCTCCCCATTTCACACTTTGCTTGCAAACCCTCTCCAATGCAGCATACCTCCTTATTTTGACTCCTGCTATATTTGAAGAGCTGTAACAGACTAGAAATAGCCACGCTACCAGACTTGTATACAGCAAACGCAGAAGACTGGCAACTGCATACAATTCCTTTGGGTCGATCAGAGAGCTAGCTTCCTGCAGGCTCAGGCTGCGACTAGGGATGTGCATTTGGTTCGTCCGAACCGAATGCACCTCCGAAAATGGCCCATTTTGACCTCTTTTGGGCTGCTGCAGGCCGATTCAAATTCTCTGATCTGAATCGGCTTGCCGCCGAATTTTGGCAGCAATTCGGCCACATTATATCCTATGGGCCATTGAAGTCAATGGCGAAAACATAGGGTATATTCTGGGGGCTGGAGGGGAGGGGGTTTGAGGGGGAGGCACCAAACTCGCAGGGTAGCTGCTGGAGCCTCTCCCCAAGATTTCAACCACGTTTCACCAGCATTTGATCCCGCGGTTCAACTCTACGTGGCAACCTGTTTGGGGGCCCGTAAAATTGGACCCCCTGGTCCAATGCTCTTGAAACGTGGTTGGTATCTTGGGGAGAAGCTCCAGCAGCTACTCTGCGAGTTTGGAGCCTCTCCCTCAAACCCCCTCCCCTCCAGCCCCCAGAATATACCCTATGTTTTCGCCATTGACTTCAATGGCCCACAGGATATCATGGGGCTGAAACTGACATTCAGCTGGCCCAAAGACTCCTGAATAGCTTGTACTGCTGAAATTGACATGCAGGAGTCTTTATGCCAGGCCGAAATTAATTCTGCCGGATTCGGCCAAATCCGAATCAGCCCAAAGTTTTCTTTTTGCACACCCCTATCTGCAACAGGGCCAGACACCCCCTTAGGTTTTTCTGTAGCATGAGGAGCAAAAGGTGAACAGGGAGCAAGGCAGGCCATTTGCACAGACACATTCTGTGCATCCCTTTGATTCAATTCTATTTGTGTGAAAAGTAACATCACCTTTACATTGCTCTAAAATGTTTGATTACAACCAAGTTCCTTTCTATCCCTCACTTTCTCCTTCATTGTGTGCAGGGTGAGCTTAATGGCCAGAAAGGTCTGGTTCCTTCAAACTTTCTTGAAGAAGTGCCTGATGATGTAGAAGTCTATTTATCTGATGCCCCATCACGATATGCTCCTCAAGATACGCCAATGCGTACGAAAGCAAAAAGGGTAAGCAAGCATTAAAGAAAAACACACATTGTACTATTTGTTTTTCCCTTCTTGTATACCATTTCACACCGAGTTGTCTCTCTCTCTTTTTTTTTTGGTATTTTAAAATCCAGCACTTTGTTTTCAGGAAATACTTGGGGAGAGTTAAATGCAGAAATAGCACATTCATCTGCCAGTGTGTATAATACCATGGACATTAAGAATGAACCATTAATTTTGTTTGGTTCATAACAATGTAACTTTAGTTTCACACGCATTTTCTACCTTGTACAAGTATTTACTCCCACAGCACGTAGATTTAGATAGCAGCAGAACAGGGCTTGGAAGGGGGGAAAATATAGGACAGATGTTGCCGTGGGCACTGCCCATAGGTCATAAGCCCTTCCAAGGTTTCCTTAACTGCCATTGTGTTCCCCACCCTAGGACAAATTATTCATATGTAGTGTCTCACTTGTCTTCTTTCATCACTGCAGTTTTTATATATTATATTTTATATATATTTTTATTTCTTTGCTCATCTGCTTGGGAACAGAAGAAGAGTGTTCATTTCACACCTTAAAAAAGGCAATGTAGCCTTCACGTAAGTGAGCAACTGAAGATACCAATAAAGATACCACCCCAAGCTAGCTGGCAATATCTAATGCAGCCATCCTGGCACTTAAATGTGCAGAAACTAAATGAGAAATATGTCTCCAAAAACACTCTTAGCCCTGGTTGGTTGCAGATTTTCCTGTTATGCATATTTAAAACCAACTTCTAGGGCATATGTAGTCAGAAAAACATGACCAAAATTGACTGTTGTTTCACAGTTCTCTTTCTCCTTGTATTCAGGGCTCATGTTGGTAAAAGGTTAACATTTGGAACATATTTCTTACTCAACTTAATGTTTGTTTGCATTTTAAAAAGTGTTCCTAGTGTCTAACTCCAAAGAGGAGCTGCATATTGCATTGTTAGCCAATCTGGGAGGAAAGTCCCAACTCAAGAAGGGGCAAAAAAAAAAAGCACAAAATCCCAACCCTCCAACAATAAGCATAACACTGTAAGCAGATAAGAATGGCAGTTGCAAAAATGGTAGTTATTTCTGAAACCTCTAACCTCAAATATCTGCTTAAACTGTTTGCCTTAAAATGTTTCTTCTGGTCAGCAGTAATGCAAGCCTGCCTCTGGCAATACCCACGCAGTAATGCTCATTACAATGCCAGTTTCCACACCTGCATTTGCAAAGCACTCAGCCACTCTTTGGTTTATCAATGCAATAACTGTCAATGTGAACCTTGCAGCTCAACCCGTGAATGAATGCATTAGAACTCACTCTATGGTATCTTCAGGTGTACGTTGGGGTGCTTCTACAGAGTGGTTTCTTTTGATTTGGTTTTCTTCATTAGATGAAGACCTTGATTTGCGACCAAAGGAAGCTTGTGACCCCCTTTTGCTTAATTTTACCTTCATCTATCATATAGATTCTGTCATAGCTGCTGGAAAGAACTGTGATGAGCTTACAGTATTAAGCAAAAACTGTAGTTACTAGGGGCTCAGTTGTTTCTTCTCAAGTGATTCTTCTACATATCTGTGCAACATGTCACCAAGAAATCATATTTTACCTTGAATGTGTAATCGCATTGCCAACACAAGCAGCAAGGGGCTTCAAGCTTTCTTTGATTACAATTAAGGTTCATTTAGCTTTTTCTTTCAACCAGTGTGCCATTTTCTCAAAATATGTATATACAGAATGGTCAACAAAACAAAGAACAAAACAAAACAAAAACAAGCATTCATAGGATCTCAACAATTAGTGTTCTAATGTATTATCTTCACAATTGGTGATTTCTGGAAACTGGCTGGTGTATATAGAACTTGCCACTTGTAGTATGTATCCCACTTATTCATGTCCGCTGAATCACCACTAACGTATTAAAATACAAAAAGCAATTTGATTTTTGGCAAAATCCTATCCTGGGTTACTGTTTTTAAAAAAGCAAAAGGCCATGAGAAGTCAAGTTTTCACTTCAGCTGTATATGCTGCCCCTTGTGAATTTTTGGTAAGCACCACAAGTTCTTTTCGTCTTGTGGCATAAAATAAAAGGATTGTCCAAACCCCTCCCCCCAAAACCAAGTGCATAATTAAACAAAAAGAAATTGTTACCAACTTTCTTGTTGTTGCTGGCTTTCAAAGCATTCAGTAAACTGTAATAATGTACCTACTAGGTTCCTCCTGAGAATACAGGTACATCACCAAGGAGAGCACCATCCCCCACAGTCCATCTCCATTCGGGGTCACCTACGTCATCTGTGGGTTCTGGTAGTCCCGGGAGAGGCAGGGAATTGTCCTCGAAAAAGAAAAAGGGGCTGCTCTCCAAAGGGAAGAAACTTCTGAAAAAGCTTGGTGCAGTGAAATGAATTCGTGTTCTTCTGGACAACCTGTAAAGCTTCCGATATATGTATTTTTTTTAAAAAATAAAATTTTACAAACACTTCAAAACTAGGGCTTTCATGACTATTCAGAACATCTTTTTACAGAGCCTAGCCATTTCTTAGTACATTCCAACATCAGCAGAAACATCTGACTTGTTAAGTTACTTAAAATCCTGTGGTGAGGAGAAAACACATACACAAATCGACGTAGCATTGCTACCCAAAAGCACAGTGTTGCCAACTTGCATCTTTTTCTTTAAAACGAAAAGGGAAGACTGAAGGGATTAAGGAACATCAGGAACCATTCATTTTACAAGGCAACTTTCCTCCTCTTAACAATTTACATTTTGGTGCATTTTCCACCCTTAAAAGTGGAGAAAGGGAAATCTTGTTCTTTGATCCCCTCTTCAACCGTTCATTCCCTATCTTCTTTACACATAAATGGTCTTGAAACTCCTAGTTTATTCCGCCTTGATGTTTGCCTTATTAATGCACAATGATTTGTACTGTCTAAACTATACAGCGTATACTTTGTATGTACTGTGTATTCAACTTGTCTTTCCATCCTCACCGAGACATTGGTAATATAAAAGATCCAAGTTAATTGGTGTTGCTGACTCCGTTCAGTGTCTGATGTAATTCTTGGGAGTCTGAAAGTGTTGTGCAAGATGCATTTTTAAACATCTGTGTAAGTTCTGCTAGTCAACCTTTCAAGTACATTAAAAGCCAGATTTACTGCATACACTAGCCAGAAAATGCACACCCTGTTCAAGCCATTTTTTAAAAAAATACAGGCACTGGTACTGGAAAACAAAGGTTTCAGTATTCCAACATCTAGAGAAGTGTTTTTAAAAAATGTATCTTGAAACGCAGATTAAAGCTGGACACCATTTTTGGGGTATTGCTGATACTTGGAAAGTATTCTAGACCCAAACGTGAGGAGGTACTACAATGAGAAAGTTGTGTTATTTACTGGCCTTCACCAGGAAGAGTCATTAAAATGGATATACAAAATGCAAGGTTTGCCACATGTTATTTCTTGTTATTGGCATTACAATCTAGAAGGAAAAGAGATGTAGTTGCTGGCAGACATATTCGGCTGTTACTCTTTTGTAACTTGTCCATTTGTAAATTCTTTTTACTGTTTATACATACTTTTCAGACTGCCTTTCTTTTTGTAATTGATGGAAGGTTTATAATATGAATGATCAAAGCTTTTCCCCATTGTGTCTTCAAAGAAATATAATGTAAATTCCTGTAAAATAATCTTGTGTGCTAGATTTATGAAATTAAAGAAAAACACTGGCCTAAATTTGTGGTAAAGTATTGTGTGGGCGTGTGCATGTGTACAGTTGTTCATGTGTAAAAATATTTTATATAAATAAATTTGATATTTTGTAGAAGTTTGTTGCCTCTTTACTCAACAAATTAAAACTTGCCAATACTAGAGGCAGCACTTGCAAACACCACATACCATCGTATAACAAAACAACCTTTAGAAATCCTACTTATGCCACATCCTTAAGTGACCCTTTACAGGTACCCACACTAATAGTCCTACGCAGATATCAGCTTAATTCCTTTCAACCAGCCAAATCTGGAAGCAAGAAGAAGAGATTGGATTTATACCCCGCCCTTCACTTGGAGTCTCAGAGCGGCTTACAAACTCTTATCCCTTCCCCTCCCAACAACAGACACCCTGTGAAGTAGGTGGGGCTGAGAGAACTCTGACACAAACTGCTCTTTTTCAAGGACAGCTGTGCCAGAGCTTGTGACTGACCCAAGGTCACATCAGCAGGTGCAAGTGGAGGAGTGGGGAATCAAACCCAGTTCTCCCAGATTAGAGTCCACACACTTAACCACTACACCAAACTGGCTCTCTACATCAAACTATGCTGCACTGCACTGATTTATAGAATCAGAGTTGAAAAGGGCCATACAGGCCATCTTGTCCAACCCCCCGCTCAATGCAGATCAGCATAGGGCACTCATGACAAGTGTTTGTCCAGCCGCTGCTTAAAGACTGCCAGTGAGGGGGAGCTCACCACCTCCCTAGGTAGTTGATTCCACTGTTGCACAACTCTGACAGTCAAAAGGTTTTTCCTAATATCCAGCTGGTACCTTCCTGCCCTTAATTTAAGCCCATTATTGCGAGTCCTATCCTCTGTTGCCAACAGGACCAGCTCCCTGCTCTCCTCTAAGTGACAGCCACTTCAAGAGAGCAATCATATCCTCCCCCCCCTCAACCTCCGCTTCTCCAGACTGAACATTCCCAAGTCCCTCGGCTTTTCCTCATAGGGCTTGGTGTCCAGGCTCCCAATCATCCTTGTCACAGCAGGACTATGACATCTTGCAGTTTTGATGTTATGCCTCTGTTGATACCCCCCAAGATTTCATTAGCCTTTTTTTTTTTTTTTTTGCTGCATCACACTGGCTGCTCACATTTAACTTCTGGCCCACCTGTACCCCAAGATCTTGTTCACACACTGCTGCCCAGAAGTGTATCCCCCATCCAGTATGCATGTTCCTCATTTTTGTTACCCAGATATAGAACACGGCACTTATCCTTGTTAAATTGGATCTTGTTCACATCCGCCCTCTTTTCCAGTGTGTTCAGATCTCGCTGAATTGTCTCTCTCTCTTCTGGTGTGTTCCCTGCTGCTCCCAATTTGGTGTCATCTGCAAATTTAATGAGTTAGCCCCTCCAACCCCTCATCCAATTTTTAAAAAAAATATTGGAAAGTGCCAGGTCCAGAACCGAGCCATGTGGCACCCCACTGGACACCAGATGAAATGCCATTGACAACTACTCTTTGAGTGCAGTTCTCCAACTAGTTCCCTATCCACCTAACTATCCTAGACTCCAGTCCACAGTCCTCTAGTTAACCCATCAGAACATCATGGAGAACCCTTTTGAAAGCTTTACTGAAATCCAGGTAAATTTGTACAATCAAGAATAAAAGTACTGGTAGCTTCTGTAACTAACGTTCAAAGGTTAGCTTTTAACTGATTGCTTTCTACAATCTCACCAAAGGCACTTTGTATTAACGCTCTGCTCTGGTAATAAACCCAGATTTATCTAACTCTACTAGATTCTGTAATGGGGTGTTGGCCCTAACCATACAAGACTGACACTCATTATTTCTGAACATTCCACCTCCAGTTATACTGATCTTGTCTATTTCTCCGGTACCCTCCAAAAACAAAGCCATGTGTACAAAACATTCAAATAAAATGTGCTTCAACACAAATAACTTTACTGGAAAAGGGATTACACAACAATTTTATACTACAGCATAAACTTTTTTTTTAAAGTCTGCAAAGAAAACAGAACGCAGTGCAGTCAAACTTCTGTGGCTGGCACCTAATAGTCATACCTTGACAGAGGTGAAATAGCACAGCATGATGAAGCAAACATCTAGTAGCCCAGCTTTGAGAACTTGAAGGCTTCCTCTTTTAAGGAAAATTTGCACCATAGGGATTTTTTTTCTTTCCATACTTGGGCAGGTTCACAAGTAATACAGATTCTCCGCAAGAGACAAGCTGGGTTCTCTGTGAATGCTCTGGCCCACCAAGAACGCCAATTTATGGGCATACTGACAGGGAGCAGGCACTCTAATAACACCCTGTGGAGAAGACAAGTTACATGTAGTATTGTCTCTTTTAGGAAGACAGCACACATGCCCTTCCCTTGAAGCTAAAGCTGCTGCCTTCCTAGTGATACAATGGCAAAGCACTCATACACTGATCTGTTTCCAGGACAAATATAGTCAGCAGGTTTGACATTGGAAGTCCTTCCTCCTATGTGGCATAAAACATAAGAAGTGCCATTTCAGGCTCTTCCTCACACCCTCAGACATGAACTCATTGAGGTCTTTGGGCTGTCCTCTCCAACAGAGGAAATAACATTAAAAACAGTCAGAATTAGAAGGAAGCTGGGAATTTTGTCATGAGGAATAAAACCTCGATGCCTCCATTATTTGACTTAAGTCCAGATGCATATGAAGCTGCCTTATACCAACTCAGACCAGTCGTCTATCATATCAAGATCAGTGTCTATTATGACTAGAAGTGGCTGTCCAAGGCCTTGTGCTTAGATTCTTCACTATATGATCCTTTAAACCAGAGGCATCAGGGATTGAACCCAGATTTTTCCACATTCAAACAGATACTCTACTACTGAGTCACGGCCCCTCCCTACATAGTTTACATTCCAGACTACACTACACTATTCACACCGGATGGCACAGCCTTTTCACAATGACCCTTCCTCATGTGAGATCCCGCACAGAAGCTGCTGTACATGGACAAAGAAAACAGGTCCCCGTCCCCCCAACATAGTGTAATTCTAATACTTACTGGCCAATTATAGTACATATGACAGAGCTTGTATGTTAATCGTTGCATGTAGTCTGGCTTCAACGCACTATTGTCATAGATGACATTGTAGTGAGTTGGGGAAACGCTGCCGGTTCTCACAGCCTGACTCACAATGAAGAAATCATACCTATGATGGGGGAAAAAAGCCATATGACACAACTTCATGTTTAGTTCACCCAATTCCACTCCAAGTTTACCATCTGGAAGCCCTACTTCCTACTTCATATCAAGGATTTTCTTAGTCTGGAATTTCTAAATTCTCTCCCCAGATATAGGGGGAACACAGCAAAAAATTACTGCTTTGTTGAAGCATAAACTGAAACTCACTTACATTCTGTATAACTAAAAAACAGATTATAAAAATAGGCCCAAGACTGATAGTGCAAAATCAGGTAAAAATATATATTTTATTACTCAGTTAAATTTTTTTAAACTCCCTATGCGTTTTGCCAACAGGCTCTGTCAGGGGAATCTGTTCCGTCTTGCAGTAGTTCTTCAAAAAGAGTAAAGATCAGTAGCAAATTGTCACTGGAAGAACTTTACTACGTTCTAGCATCCAGCTGATGTAATCTCAGATTAACAAAATAATTATAAAAATACCAATATTTATTATGGTGTACACATTAGTAAAAGATAAAACAGGTTAAAAGAAATGATCCAGATATCAGACTCTTAAAACTTTTTACACACAGAGCTGATAGTTTTACAAATACAACTGATCAGTTGATTACTACATTTGATGGAAGAGATGCACATCCAGACACATTGGATATTTGTTACCAGAACAATTTGGAGACCCTGTGCAGTTACCATGAGATATAATCCATGGCCTACTGTGTAAACTTTTAGCAACTGCACACCACATGAGAAAGCAACACCTGGCTCTAAAAAAAAAAATCTTTGTTCATATACTTCTGGATGGGCATTGTTTTACAATAGTAATATTGACCACTGAGGAAGGCCCTAAGGGGCCGAGACGCATATGGTCTACTGGTCATAAGATATACCCATCAATTGTATATGTAAAACTATCAGCTGTGTATGTAAAAAGTTTTAAGAGTCTGATATTTGGATCGTTTCTTTTACCTATTTTATCTTTTACTAATGTGTACACCATGATAAATATTAGTATTTTTATAACAACTTATTTTGTTAGCTTGACCCTCATATATCATCGTCATATCTTGAGCTGAGTCCCCCCCCCCCTTTCTCGGTTTTTGTAACCTCAGATTAGACATGGCAAGTGGAGGACCCCGTGAGGACTCATGGGAGGGGGCAGGAAGAGTTTGATGACCCCACTTCTCTCCCTCTTGGTTTTTCTCCCCCTCTAGGCAGCCTCTGTCCCCACTCGCTCACCCTTTTTGTTGCCCCCCCTTCATTCTAATTTTTCAACTTTAACCCCCCCCCCCCCAAATCCTTTTCTTCTATCCATCCAATCTTTTTTTTTGGCTCTCTGATCACCTTCCTTTCGCCACTGCCAGGCCTGGAGCAGCTCTTGGTGCCCCCACTGCCGCCACTGATGAGACCAGAGTGGCTTCCAAACCCTACTTTAAAGCTGAGTGCGTTGCCTGCACATGCACAGACAACATTTTGTTTAGTTTTGGGGGAATTTAACCCCAATGTATTTTTTTAACAGTTCAGATTTTTCTGCAAACTTGAGGGTTCCCCGAGTTTGCAGAAAAAATCTGTTTAGCGTCAGTGTGACCCAACCTGCAGATTTAGATATCTGTAGATAGGGGCCAGACTTCAGTATTAGATATACAGATTTACTAGCCACTAGGGAACATATATTCCATGTTGTACATTGCCCCGAGTCCTGTTCCTACAGGGGAGGGTTCTTTAAGATCCAATTTAATAAATACAGTTTTAGAGTCTATAAGGCATTACTGTGAATGGAAAACCCAAAAGTACATCTGACATACTGCTGAAATTCAGTAAACATCCCTACTGTTACCAAAGTTGCATCTTTGAAATAAAAATACAAATACATCAGTAGCTACTACCCAATCAAAGATCCAGATTACTAAAAACAATTTGGCATAAGCAATCCCATCTCTTCTAATGTTCTGAGACACAAGCTTGAAATAAAAAAACATTTCAATTGTCCCTTAGTTATACAAGCCATATTTTTTCAAGTTGCTAATATTTACTTATGCAACTTACCACTCTGGTCTGGTAACTTCTAAATCAATCACTGTGCCTGGTGGTGGATTCTGAAGTCTTCCCCCAACTTGCGCAAAGAATCTGGTATTCACACGCTTCTTCACCACTATTACTGTTAACTTAGGACTTTAGACAATCATATATGTAGTTTAGGTTCAGACTATTAGAATAAAACACTTCTATTTAACAATCTCAGGAGATATTTGGCACTGTATTCCACCACTAGGATGTTTTTTTTTTAATTACTATTCTGAAGCAGTGGCGTGAGCAGCAATTTTAAGAAAACATACAAAAAACACAGTAATAAAAGCAAACCAAACTGAACATGGAAGTCTCTTAACCTCTGCCAACTCCATTCCTCCCCCTATAGAAATCTGGCAGTGACAAACCCCACAGAAACAAGTTACAAAATTGTGGCAAGGCCTCTGAACCTGTTTGAGCTTCTGAACTACTGTTCTGCTAGACACAAAACTCATGATGTGGGCACCAAACTACTACCCACAATTCAAGATTTAAAAACAGGAATTCAAGATTGTAAAAGGTCAAAACCAGTATAATGTTTGGCCCATAATGTTACTATAAGGCAGTGAAGACTTTTTACAGTCCACTATATTCCATGCTAGATAAAACCTCCTATAATGCATTAAGAGCAGTCAACTTTTGAAGCATCCATTATTGTGTCTGTTCTAGGAAAGCTCTTTTTTTTAAGCATAAGTAAAGAGCACTGCAAGGGTTCAGAGCATGTATTCTTCTTCACCAATGAAGAGTAGCCCAATCAAGCTAGTTTATCTTAGCTACCAGATGACACTGATACTGTCTCCTATGTTTGTTAGCCAACATGCACTGTTATCAACTATCATGGCCTAACCTGTAGTCTTTCCCAACAGCTTTCAAGCATTCCAAAAATTGAGGGACTTCATAGTTAACCAAGGTTTTCAGCTGACCATCTCCAACACCATCTCGATATACAATAATGCGGGCAGGCATGCGGTTGTTGTAGGTATACCATGTCCTTAAAGCAGCTTCAGGAAAAAGCATCCGCAGAGCAAATCATTCCTCTTACAAAATTTAATGCTTAGGCGTATACCCTCCCCACCCCTAGCCAAGAAAGGCCATGCTGAAAGTCTACTTGCTGAAACAAACCAAAGCGTAAACTGGACACCCCCCCCCCAAAATCAACCATAGCCTTTGAAACACGCAATGTTCTATGAACAGGCAAAAGGAAAATGAATGTAATACAAGGTGTCTAGAACCCAAGAAGTTTTTAAAAGAGAGAGAATTATTAGAGAATTGAGTGCTATGGGAATCACTAAGACAGGGAGGAGAATTAAAACTTGTTATCCTAATAAAAACTATCCCATTTTACCATCAAGACAATCTTGCAAAGTCTTCATAACTAAGCTTTTAATTTAATATTCAACCTATTCATACAAACCAATTACCTGCAGTCTTCTGCACTCTATTTGCATGATTAAGAGTAATACAAAGTTGCTAGTTTCTGACGTCTAACATATAGCTTAATGCGCACCAGGTGGGTTGGTTTTCCTCAGTACCTTACACAGAACTTTCAACATTACAAATCTCATTGTTGAAAAAAGCTGACTTAAGAGGAAAAATGCCACACAACAGATCAGTTATGAAATGGGAAAGCTTACCTTGCAAACAAACTTTGAGCCCATCTACAAGTTCTTGCCCACGATCCTGAACGACACATCGTGAATACCAACTGCCGAGAGAGCAAGAAAAATGTGAATACCAACGGCAAAGAGCATCAGTGTATATACCTTAGCATTGGTAATTGAAATTGGGGGAGGCCCCAGGTCCAGATGACATGCTGCCTAAGCTAATTAAATCTACTGTCACATGATATTCCTATTAGCATCTTATTTACATGTATCAATAACTCTGGTACAGATGCTAAAAGCTGAGTCAAAAGAATAATTATTCCAGTCTATAAGAACAACAAGGGTCTTGCTAATTACTAGCCAATTAGTCTGCTTTCTGTAACTGGGAAAATGTATGCCAGCTACCTTTCTAAGTGTAGCTAGATGCCAGCAAAATCCTGTGCAAGAGCAAACTGGCTTTAGCGCAGGCAACTCTACCTTAGAATTGCCTCACGTTATCACATCTAGTCAAGAAATGCAGGGATCCAGGAGAAACTGCAGCTTTTATTGATCTCAAGTCAGCTTCTGACTTGATTTCAAGAAAACTTGTTGGGATGACGCTCACAAAATCCACACTGGAAAGCCAACTGCTCTCTCTCTCTGTGTGTGTCAAGTACCATCAAGTCACTTCCAACTTATGGCCACACTATGAATCAATGTTCTCTAAAATGTCCTATTGTTAACAGCCTTGCTCAGGTCTTGCAGACTGAGGACTGTGGCTTCCTTGATTGAGTCAATCCATCTCAGGTTGGACCTGCTCTTTTCATACTTTTAGTTGAGGGCAGCAACTGGTACCCTTTCTTTTGTCCCTATGGCCCCCACGTGCCCTTCCCTGCCCCATTGTACAGGACAGAAGCATAGCCAGCTAAGGGGGAATCACTATATTGCCATCCTGGATTGGCTTAGTTTATTGATCTACTGTAGTATTCTTATTTATACTGACTATATCTTAAATGTTTAAGATTTTAAATCATCCAGAGCCTGCTTACAGGGTGGGTGATTCATAAGTTTAAATAAATAAATACATTCAACTTTTCCTAGCATTATTGTCTTTTCCAGTGACTAGTCTTCTCCTAATGTGACCGAAGAATGATCGCCTCAGTTTACTAGTAAAATAAATTTAGAGTCCAGTGTCACCTTTAAGACCAGCAAAGTTTTATTCAAAGTATGAGCTACTGTGTGCAAGTGCACTTTTTCAAATACACTGGAAGGAAGGTAAGGTTCAAACTTACAGACGGGCTGAACAGTGTTAATGTGTAACATGAAAACTAAAAAACAAGCTAAGGTTATAAGGTCAACAGCTGTAAAGCAATAAGGATGTCAAAATAGGACAGATTCTCCATTTACTCTTCTCAGGAATGGAGGTCACTTAATTTTTTTTTTCTTTTTTGAGGTCGCTATAGGGTATGTCGGAGCTGTGGTGGCTCAAGTGGTTAAGACGCTGAACTGCAGGCTGTGGAAGGTCAGTAGTTCAGCAGTTCGAGACTCGAGTGTGCCGCGTGACGGAGTGAGCTCCCGTCTCTAGTTCCAGCTCCAGCCAACCTAGCAGTTCGAAAGCAAGAAATTGCAAGTAGATAAATAGGTACCACTTCGGTGGGAAGGTAACAGCGTTCCACGTGCCTTGGTGTTTAGTCATGTCGGCCACATGACCACGGAAACATCTTCGGACAGCGCTGGCTCTTCGGCTTTGAAACGGAGATGAGCACTGCAACCCTAGAATCGGATTCGACTGGCTTTCGAACAAGGGAACCTTTACCTTTATAGGGTATGTCAGCCAAACATTCCAATATCCCTTGTATTATGTTCAGTATTCTAATATACTATTCTGAAAAAGAAATACAGTAAAATACGGAGGATTCTCTGTATGAGAATACATATGTGAGGACTGAATGAGTTAGCATATGTAATGAGATAAGAAACCAATACCCTTGTTGAGTCCTGGGGAGGTTTTTGTTCCAAGTGTTGTAATAACTTGTAATTCAACAATTCCCCTTTCCATTCTGAAGTTCCTTTGTAATAAAACAGCTACCTTGAGGTTACCCACTGAATGTCCTGAAAGGTTTCTCAGTCTTGTGATTCCTGATGTCAGATTTGCGTCCATTTATCCTCTAGCATAGGATCTGTTGACTGTATACATTTGTTTTTGGTAACTAGTTAACATTAATCACCAGCATAAGTGGGTCTAGGCAGAAGGTCAAGGGAAGGGTGGGTCTAGGCAGAAGGTCAAGGGAAGGATGTTGAGAAAAAGAAGGGCTCGGCACCCTTCCAGTCTACGACCCATCCCGAAGGAGGTCTGCAGTGGGGCTAGGATGAAGTACCCCCTTCCGTCATTGGTGTTGTGTAATGCCAGGTCCATCAACAATAAGACGAAAGTCCTTCAGGACTTCGTCATGGAACAACAGGTGGACCTGGCGTGCATGATTGAGACCTGGGTGCGGGACGGGGAGATGGTAGCTCTCTCCCAACTTGCCCCACCCGGGTTCTCAGTCCTAAATCAATCGCGGACTAAGGGGCGGGGGGGGGGAGGTGTGGTGATTTTCATTCGGGAGGCTTTCTCCTTCAGAGCGCTCCCCCCGCTGGAGATCATGGGCATGGAGTGTGTCGGCTTCGTGCTGGGGACTGTGGAGAGTTTGGCGATCTGGCTAGTGTACCAACCGCCTAACGCACCAGCCAGTAGCCTGCCGTCCCTGCTGGAGGCCATATCACGCTGGGCGCTGGAGCACCCTAGGCTTTGGTCTTGGGTGACTTCAACGTCCATGCCGATGATGTGGCTTCCAGCCGGGCTCCGGACCTGGTTTCGTCCATGGCGGCACTGGGACTCTCTCAATGTGTAACGATCCCAGGCCGGGCACACGCTCCAGGCCGGGCACACGCTCGATTTGATCTTCACGGCAGAGATTATAGTGGACCGGATTACTGCGGCGGCAGTACCATGGTCGGACCACTTTGCCCTGAAGGCTCGTCTGAATGCCCCACCCCAATCCTGTTTAGGCGGTGAGCAGATTTTAGCTCGCCCGCAGAACCAAATGGACCCTGTTGGGCTTCAGATGGCTCTGCGGAAGCCGATGCCCCCTGGCGGCTCATTGGATGAGCTTGTGGAGGACTGGTATGACCGACTCTCCACAGCCATCGATGAAATCACTCCCAGGCGCCCTCTGAGCTCTCGGCTGGCCCCTTGGTATACCCAGGGGTTGCGGCTCATGAAACGATAGCTAAGATGGCTAGAGAGATGGTGGCGGTGTGCTCACGATGAAGCATCAAGAACATCCTATAGGACGTTTATGAGATCCTATGAGATGGCAGTCAAGGCTGCTAAGAGGGAGTTCTGTGCAGCCAGGATTGCGTCTGCGAGCTCACGCCCAGCCCAATTATTTAGAACAATTCGGTCTTTGACAGCTCTGCCCCATGCCAGACAAAACAGTAGGGTATTGGATATTGGCTGTGAGGCTTTTGCGAGCAATTTCGCAGATAAAGTCTTGACGCTCCACCGTGACCTCCCTGCCACAATTGAAACAGTGAGCGAACTTGAGGCCCCTTGCGCGCCTTCGCGGGGTTTAGAATGTTTTGACCCGCTCAGTCTGGAGGAAGTTGACAGACTGCTCATATCTGTGCGCCCAACCACGTGCCATCTTGATCCGTGCCCTTCCTGGCTCATTAAAGCGGGCCACGAGGGGTTCCGAGGTGCCGTAAGGGAGATTATCAACAAGTCCCTCCTGGAGGGACGGTTCCCTGAGGCACTCAAGGAGGCGATGGTCCATCCTCTCCTGAAAAAACCAACTTTGGACCCGGCTGGATTGGCCAACTATCAGCCAGTGTCCAATTTGCCCTATTTGAGCAAATTGATTGAGAGGGCGGTGGCGACACAGCTTCAGAGCTTTCTGGATGACGCTTCTGTCCTGGATTCATTCCAGTCCGGCTTTCACCCAGGTCATGGGACGGAGACAATGCTGATCGCCCTGACTGACGACCTTCAGAGGCATCTGGATCGAGGTGGTGTGGCGGCACTGTTGTTGTTAGATCTGTCGGCTGCACTTGACACGGTCGACCACCAGTTGCTGACCCACCGCCTCG